GTTTCTGCAGGGAGTTGGATTAGAAAACTCCCTTTTATTTTGTATTGTTTTCAGAACATAAGGCAACCACCAAAGGTTCAGCCTGATAATCATACTTCAGGAAGCTGTTTTAATATTCTGCTTTTTTAAGAAATCAAGCACCTTATTAAAGATGTATTGTCTTCTTCAGCAATGTTTCTAGAAATACTGAGGTAGGTATTGTAAGGAATGGTGGCTGCCATATTAAGGAGGAGAAAAATCTTCAATCTTTGTAAAATAATTATTTCAGCCTATCATTTCATAAGATCTGCAGTTGGTGAAATTTTGTGGGGTGACACTATGTTGTCCAGTTTAGGTGTTACAAATATCTCCCTGTTTTTATATGGTCCACAATAGCAATAGCAATAGCAATAGCAGTTAGACTTCTATACCGCTTCATAGGGCTTTCAACCCTCTCTAAGTGGTTTACAGAGTCAAAACAATTTCTAATTCCTGGATCAGATGTGCAGAACTAAGTGAAAACTGAAAACATGATGCAAATTTTAGAAAGACTAAGCGATGTGCATAGAAGCCCATTCAATAGCCAAATATTGCAAAGACATTGCTGATTTTAACCCCAGTTCTCAATTTGGGGGAAAAACCTGTAAACTTCTCTCATATCAAGCTAATTTGATAATTAAACAGTTCCAAGCTGTTGATATATTTCAATACTTTTTGTCAGAATACCAGATTTTGATTTGGAATTTAACAGTTTTGGTTACGCCAATTCAACATTTTACTTTGATAACCATCAAGCAGCTCCAAATTTACATCCAAGTTGTATATTGGGAATGTCACATCAGAACATATTGCTTTGACTACGTAGAAAACACAACAAAAGAACAAAAAGCTTAAATTAATTTGTTCTACATGTTTCAAACTATAAAAGAAAGGTTGATGAAATCTTTTGAATAAAACAAAGTTAGTTTTACGGTTCAAGTTTATAATGGAAGAACAATAATGTATAGTTTATATTAATAGGCACATTTTATTTATAGTTTGTGTAATCAGCCCAATGAAACTATGTCTGGTATTCCAGCATCTTTAAAGTAAATCCTAGTTTTGCCCAATTATTTGGAAAAAAAATGAGGTGGAAAAAAACGTTAGAAAAAGTATGCTGTTGATTGAGTCCAGCAATAATAAAAGGACACCTTACCTTTCCTCTGAATTATTGTGACTGCTATTCCCAATAAAATTCCGAATTTCTGTAAAGTATGAGTCTTCTTTATCATCTAAGATAGCCCCTGTGCTTTCAAGTTCTGAGTGAGGTGAAGATGTAGCAGTACCTTTAACAAAAAAAGGAATATACAGTAGGTAGGCAGGTAGGTAGGTAGGTAGTTAAGTGGGTGGGTAGGTAGGTAGGTAGGTAGGTNCCATTGTGTTGAGGCAGTAAAGTACATTTAAATACTTTGACATAAAAATGGAATTAATCATCTTAAACACATTATATTCCAAAATGGATTGGAGAAACAGCCACATAAATTGTTGACAGTGTTTAATATTACACCCATAAGAATTTAATTATTTAGTTGTATGAATCATTCTGTCTCATTTTCCTCAGAGATAAGTTCTGATTACCTTACTTCATTTAAACTTAAATATGTAAATAAACAGCCAATCGGAAGTCTACACGCCTACCCAACCTATTCCCTAGAACCAAATTCTTCTTCTGAAATGTAAAAAGAATGTTATGTTTGGTTTTCCCTATAACTGGTCTATTTTGCAAAAGAGAATGAAATCACATAAGAAGTTATCTCATCATTGTCAAAATTATGTAGCCCTGCCCACAATTAAGTTTAGAAACTTTTAGAAAGTTTGTACCTTCATGGCTATTCCTTAATTTATAGCATAGAAGAAAAATAATCAGTCAGAAATTAACCAATAGCCAGTAATAATACAAGAGCTATAAAGCTTATAGAAATCACGATAAAAAGATCAGCAATAACTGGTCACTTTATAGTAGAGAATATTCTTGGCATGTTTTGTCAAAGTGCCCTGCTTAGTATGTTTTGGGTAATCAAAAGAATTATGAGTCATAAATCAGGGTTTGCCAGATGGGAAATTTCAACAGTTGGAGAATATTTGTTGTGAAAAGTACTTGGATTTAAATCAAACTAATGAAAACCATATGATTAAGAAAAGCCAGATTTACTAATTACATTTTTATATGCCCTAATTTCCCAAGAATGAGCATCTTTTAAAAATAATGTAAAAATGATACATTTTAAAAGAAAACAGTGAAAGATGCACTGTTTTCTTCTTGTAGAATCTTCCTACATACAGTAAGGGTATCTTGAAACCAGATGTGAAACATACTAAAACATGGCCATGATGTGAGAACAAAATTTCAAGATGCATGTAATGTACAAAGACGTGTCTTCATTAATATAGGCCTATTTATTTTTGATCCCAGCATTCAAACAAGTAAGAAAAATGAAAAGGGAATGATGGCATGCAGTAGCTACTTTTATAGCGAAAACTACACTGACATAGTCAGACTAATTTATTAAAGATAAACATTTTTATAGAAATTTAAACAATTACATCAAAAATTTGGGTAGACAAAGGTCACACTTGACCTCCGAATGATTTGCTGTGGGTTACTTTAAAAAATAAACAGAGCCAGAGCAAAGATAGGCCTGGGGCCAAGACAAAACTGAACTATGAAATACGATACAAATTAAATTAACCAAATAAAGTTAATCAAACATAGTTTAAGTTTCCCTTCAGTCCCTTTAAAATTTACAAATTTTACAGAATTTCTAAAAATCTCCGAAAGCTCTTTGGGAAGTCAAGACCATATTCTTATGATCTCAGTTGCACATCTGTGAATACGCATCTGCATGAAAGGCTACAATTTGATTTAAGTACTGTGCTTGCTTTGTGATCATGTTGTTACAAATCTGTAAGTAAAAATAGTGAAAGGTTTTCTATATTATTATTATAGTGGAGTGAGGAATTAATATAAGTATTTAGCATGCATGGTTAATACATTCTTTAGAAAGGACTGGGGTATATATTTTCATTTGTGTGAAATAATTATTTATTAGGGATGTAATAAATGGAAGCTTTTAAGAAGAGNGAATAGGAACAAAGTCTTAATTTATTTTCTGGGAGTAAATATTTATCATTACAGTAGACTAAAATGTTTTCATTTAGCAAACATCAGACTAAATGCTGATCCTAAACCAGGGATATATTTTTTTCCTGCAAAAGAAAGGACCAAGGAAGGAAGAACCCTATATTCCTATAATTTACATTTATAAAGGCAGCATATAAACCCATAAGAGTCCCGAATTAGTTGAATTTGGAGATGGACAAAATACTTGGCTGTTTATTATCATACATTCCTCATTCTCAGCCTCAATGTTTTGATTACATCTAGATTAGGCTGCAAATTGCATTTCCTTAGTTGTTCATCTTTTGCATTTCCTAAAGGACTTTTACCTGAGATTTGGACTTGCGATGCAATGGCTGTTTTAAGTCTTCTGGCAAATGGGAGGTGGTGAATGCCGCCAAGTCAGTTTCATTGAACTGGTTTTCTTCTAATTTCCTCACTTTGAGACTATCGGTGAAGTGCCTTATGTGGTCCAAAGCAGAAAGTCCCGTTTTATTAAACTCATCTTCCTTATACCTGCAAAAAAGACGTTGAGATGAGATAATCTGGGCAAAAGCCAATGATTGTAATCATCATATATTTAAACACATCACTGATTTCAATAAAATTAAATATAGGTACTAGAACAGAGACACTTTTTGGAACATTCTTTTGTTATGTATAGTACACACTTCTCTTTTCCAAGCCTTTGTGCAAATTGACAAATAATAGTTAGAAAACATAAACTAGTCATGGGTTTATAGCTAGCAACACAAGTCAGTGTTTGTCTACTCAAGACTAAGACCCTTTCATGTTAAAAATGTATTTAATAATTGCAACCAAGATCCTGAAAACTGTTTCTTGTAGATTTCCTAGAAGTCCCTCCATGAAAACCTTTATATTCCCTCTTTCAGTTAACTGCCCACTGTAACACTGCACATTGTTGACTTGATTCACTGACTGAGAATGACTGTTTTATATATTGCCATATATTTACAGGCTACCTTCTGGACAAAGTGTTTGAAAGGCAGGGAATAAGAAGAAAAGAATGTGTGCATTGTGGGCTCCTCAGTACTCTCTTGGTTGTTTTCTTCCAGACATTTCATTACCAAACTAGGTAACATGATCAGAGAACCAAGAAACTCACAATTCAACCCTGAGCTAATATTCTCTTTTATTGGTAAAATATTTTATTGTGTGTATATCTCAGCACTTTGTAATATTACATAACACAAGAATAATTATATATATTAACTGAAAAAAAGAACATTTTCATTTTTTGCTGACCCCTGGTCTACCCATTTCTGCTCATTTTGAGTCCCCCTTCGGGGGAAAAGGGCAGCATACAAATGAAATAAACATTCATTCAAATAAACATTTTAATATCTTCCTTATTATTCTGAAGGAGTATTTTCACTTTTCCACTGCTGTGCAAACACCATTCTCGCTGCTGTTAGGATGTGAAGTATTAGGCATATTGACTCGTTGCTATAGCCTTATAATACTTAATAGAAATAATTCTGGCTTGAATCCTATACTTTGTCCAACCATTTTTTTCTAGCCACATCTGAATTTGTAACCCAAATCTTGCTTTTTTACAGGTCTACCACATGTGGTA